GCCCCAGACCCTGCCCCAGACCCTGCCACCGCCGCCCCACCTGCCCGCCCCGCCTCCCCTCTTCCCCACCTCGGCCAACAGCGGCGGCGGCGGGAGGATGAGCGCCACCAACCAGCCCTGACCTACACACGCAGGACCTGGAGCCCGGGGCCAGTGGGAGCGACACGCCAGCCCGGCCAGGGTGCAGGCTGGCTGCCCCCGGAGCTGGTGGAGGACACCTCACTCCCAAGTGCCCCCTTTCAGGGACTCCTTGAAGCCTTTCCCCTTTTTGGGAAGTGAAGGAAAAAGAGAGGAAACGCTTTGCAGTACCCCCTCCAGGTGAGGGGGGCGTTGGAGGCAGCAGGGACAGGGGAAGGGGTGGCCTGCAGCGCAGGTGTGACTGGTCACTCTGCTGAGGCTTGAGCCGAGGGGTTGTTCAGGTTGAGCCTGGGCCAGCCTCGGGCTCCTCCCTGCCTCCCCTGTGTCCCCTAACTTGCTTCCTTGTCCTAAAGGGATTGGGGTGCCAGCCCCTTCCCCCCAACCCCCCGGGAGCAGTTGTGGACTCAGTCTGAGGACTGTGGACACCGAGGCAGGGGCTTGAGACTGAATGCCCAGGAGCGTGTTGGGTGGGGCCTGGTGGGGCGTGAAGACTTCAGACCCAGCTCTGCGCCATGTGGAGTGGGGCAGGCAGGGGCTGGACCCCGGCATTTGCTTTCCCCACCCATCGCCCTGCCAGCAAGCACAGGGGTCCCCGACCTGCACCAGGCTGCACCGAGGTCCCTGGGGAGAGGCCTGGGGTGGGCAGATGGGTCGGCTCCCCCGGCACCAGCTCCCAGGGGCTACAGTCAAGGAGCCCCTGCAAATGGGTGGCCCCCAGGGGCAGGGCCTAGGGGGAGGCCTGGACAAGTGTTCCGAGGTTTCTAGGTGCTATCGGGGGCAGAGGGCAGAGCTGCTGGTCACAGAGCACCCGCCCCTCACCAGCTGTCTCCCACGCGAGAGGAGATGTGTGTGTCTGTCCATCATGCTCCCTGAAGGCAATGCCAGGCCTCATCCTCCCCTGGCCCCGCCACAACCTGCCCATGGCTGGTGTCCGGCACCCTTGTCCCTCTGGGCCTCTGCGTTGGGGGCGGGTGCCTGTGGCATTGTTAGTGAGAGGAGCCTGAGGAGCCTGCACGGTCAGGCCCCGCGTCGGGGCAGGGTCCTAGGGGAGTCTCTGCCTGTGCCCAATGCTTGCCTGCATGAGGCCAGCGCTAACAGGTCACCCTTTTTTGTTGTCATTTAACATCTTTATTCCTGCCCTTAAAACGGGGAGGAAGGTTCCATAAGCTACATGTTTCCTAGTTAAGCTCTTTCCTATTGTTTATACGGTTTTGTTTGTTATACTCTTTGCACCTTAAACCCCCACGACGACCCCCATACCACCGCCTTCCCAGCATGGCTGGAGTGGGAGCAGGCCTGAGCCCCAGCGGGGTGGTGGGGGGACTGGGCCCCATCGGCCTGAGGGCTGAGGGGGTTAGAACCCCACTGACCTCCTTGTGAGGCCCACGGCGCTGGGGCAGGGGGTTGGGCACATTTTAATCATCAATAAACGAAGCACTTTATTCTGTACAGATGTGGGCAGGCCCGAGGAGCCCGAGTGATTTGAGGGTCTATAATCCAAGCCGCACAGCCCGCTCGCTCTCTGGGCGTGGAGCAGGCAGTGCCCTGGCCCGGTTGATTCGGGGGCTGCAGCAGGAGCAGTACAAACCAGAGCCCACAGACTCACCCTCTGGGGCCCCTGCCGTCCTCCCGGGACTGAACGTGGCCCCTCCCCGAGAGGAAGGCTTCCTGTCTGGCTCCCACCCCAAGGCTGGGCCTCCCAGGGCCCTGCGTTACTGTAGCTCTTTCCCTCTCTTGTACCTCTAATCTCTGGGCTTCCATGATGTCCTCAGGGACCCCCCTCCCCACGCCCCCACCCTTGCTATGTCTAACCTCTGGTCCCAGTGCCTGGCAGCTCTTCAGAGCTGGCTCACATTTTCCAAAAAAAGGTTGATCTCCCCACGATGGGCTTTAGGCCGGGACCCCCATGGGTTCCCCAACCCCCTGTCACTGACACCAGGGTCTACCCTACCCTAGGGGCTGGTGGCCTTGTCACCAGCCAGCCCCACTGCAGCCTTAGCAAGCCTGGGGGCCTGGCCAGGCGGAGCCCCTGGTCTGTCAGGCCAGACTTTGACAAGCAGAGGCCAGAGATTGGGGGGTTGGGGGGCTGGTTGTGAACCCCCTGTCCTAAGACTTGGGTTCCCTGTTCTTTTATACCTTCCCTCTGAGGGCAGGAGAGGGGTCCCGACAGCAGGCGGGGCTCCGGTCACAATGGTCTTGGAGCTGTCTAGGTGGGTGCAGCCAAGTCCTCTCCTGGGAGGCCCCATCCCAGTGGGGACAGGAGCCCCATGTCCCTGGTGCTAAATGCTCTCTTCCCCTTGGGCCACTGGGTGGGAGCACCCTTCCAGCCAGACCTCGGGGGCCTGAAGCAATAATGGAACCTCAGCAGCGCCAGTGTCGACGGGGTTCTTGTTTTACCAGCTTCTCCATTTCCTTTTTATTTCAAAAGTAAGCACCTGGATATTGGACTGAGGGCACTGGGGCTTCCTACCCAACCCCAGGGCTGGCAGTAGGTGGTGGGGAGGGGCTTAGCTCATCACCTCCACTGGGATTCGGCCGTGAGGAGGTCCGTCCATCTGGACTTCTCAGCCCCGTTGGCCAGATCTCAGGTCCGGAACCTGGGCCTGTCCCTGCCCCAGCTTCCCCAGGGCTCTCTGGTCTTGGGTCAGAGGGGGGCCTCCAGCCCCAGGATCACAGTTCTGGGATCTGGGACTGGCCTTAGAGCCTGAGCCTCTGACTCTGGCATGTGCTGCCACAGTGCCCCTCACCGCGGTGGCAGCATGGCTGTGCCCAGGCCTGTGGACCCCCGATGTCTGGTCATCTGTGGCCACCCCACAGCCACAGAGTGTGTGGGGAACAGCAGGTGGGTGAGTGAGAAGAGTGAAGGGAATAAAGTCAGTACAACTGTTCCTTGGCCCAGTCTCTTCTTTACATGTTGCCTGCCCGGACTATCGGCTAGACTTAAAGACTTGAACCAGAGCAAGGAACCAGACAACTCGGCTGCAGACAGCATGGACATCATGCCCTGGACCCCATCTCCCTCCCTTACGGTGGGCTGAGCTTTGGGGAACACCCAGAGTCCAGAGCTGAGGCAAGAGCAGAGGTGCACCCCAAACGGGGGCTGGATCTTTGAGGGGGTGCAGAATGGGCTTGAAAGAGGAGAGGTCCTGGGCTCCTAAGGTCGAGGTCCTGAAGGCAGTGTCACAGGGGCCCTGCAGGTGTGGTTTTCCGTGAGCACCAGGTGTGTAGCCACCGGGGTCCCTCCCATTCATGCTCGGCACTGGGGGTGCTGTGATGAGCCCTGTGGACTCACCCCTCCCCTCGTGGGCGGGGATTCTGGAGGGGCCAGATATCAGAGGTGCTGTCGTGGGTGCCTGGGAGGACAAAAGCTCAGATGAAAGACAGGTAGTGGCCTCTGAGGCAGGGGGTGCTCTAGGTCTAGGGATCTGTGGTGAATGAGGCCCCTGTTTCATGTCACTTAGTTCTGGATGCAGGGGGAGGGGTCTGACTGGGAAGTGGGACCGGAGGCCGGTGTGTGGTGCAGGTTCCCAGGCGTGGATGCTGCCTGTTCACACAGGCCCACTTTCTTGGTCGAAAGGAACAGGGGCTCACTCAGGTCACCCTAGAAAAAGGCTTGCCAACAGACCGAGGCCTGGCTGCTCCCCTGGTCTCGTGGCTGGTCGGCTTCTCTGTTTCCGCTCTCTTCCTTCTTGCTACCCATCCGTTTGCCTGTCACCTCTACACAGCCTTTTCCTCCAGCCCCACCCCACCTCCCTCATCCTCAAAGTACAGTTGACCCTTGAATAATGTGGGGGTTAGGGTCACCGAATGCAATGCACTAGAAAATCTGCATATAACTTTTGATTCCCCCCAAACTTAGCTACTCAGTCTACTGTTGACTGGAAGCGTTACTGCTAACAATCACGCAACACAGATTTTTTATGTTATCTCTACTATATACTGTATTCTTACAAAATAAGCTAAAAAATGTTATTAAGAAAATTACAAAAAAATACATTTATAGAACTGTACATATTTATTAAAAAACTAGAGGCCCGGTGCACAAAATTAGTGCACTTGGGGAGGGGGGGTGCGGGTCCCTCAGCCCGGCCTGGGCCCTCTCACAGTCCAGGAACCCTTGGGGATGTCTGACTGGGTGTCACAAGTCCCACGAGGTGACTTGTGGGTGGTGGATATATCCCTCTACCTTGATGGGGTTTCACAATCACATATGTTTATACATACATCAAAACTTATCAAATTGTACACGTTACATATGCGCAGTTTATTGGGTGTGACTTATGCCTCAACAATGCTATTTAAAAACAGCCTGGCCAGAGTGGCTCAGTGGTTGATCATTGACCTATGAACCAGGAGGTTTCGGTTCGATTTCCGGTCAGGGCACATGCCCAGGTTGTGAGCTCGATCCTCAGTAGGGGGCATGCAGGAGGCAGCTGATCAATGAGCCTCTCTCATCATTGATGTTTCTATCTCCCTCTCCCTTCCTCTTTGAAGTCAATAAAAATAAATAACTAAATAAAAACAACATAAGACTGATTCCCTATTTGCTAGCCATCTAAATTTCAGTTTCTATAAAATGGGGAAACTAATACCTACCTCATAATATTGGTGTGAAGATTTAAAGGGATGAAATGAGATGACATTTTCCTTTGATTCAGTGAAAAGCAGTGGAGCCACGCTGCCTCCCTCTCTCTCCGACACCCACATCCAAGCTCCCTGGGTCAGTCACAGAGTGGGTACAGGCCTAGCCATGACCTGGTAGTTGTTGAAGTGGGGTGATGAGTACGTGGGACGTCAGTATACTATTCTCTCCACCTTTGTATATGTTTGCATTCTCCATAATTAGAATTAAAGCAACAACAGTGGCTCCCTGTTTCACTGAGGGGAAAACCAACGCTGTACACTCCGCACACGGTCCTGCATGGGTCCCTCACCCTCTCCTCTCTGTCCTCATCTACTCACCTCATTCACGGCTCCAGCCCCACTGGCCTCCTGCTGTTCCTATAATGAGCCAGACACTTCCTGCCCCAGGGCATTTGCTCCAGCTGTTCTCTTCCCTGGAGTCCTGCTTTCTCCATGGCTTGAACCTGCTCAAATATAGACCTTTTAGTGAGCCCATCCTGACTATTCCATTTTACATTGTTACCACCTCCACCTGTCACTCCCCACACCCCCTTTCCTGCTGTCTGTCACCATAGCAGTATCATCTGACATGCTGCATAATAATTTATTTATTGCTGTCTTCCACACCCACCCCCCTACCCCCACGCCCTGGGCTGAATGTAAGCTCCATGAAGACAGGAATTCCTGCCTGATGTTCAGGTGCATCCTCAGCAGGTCCTCGATGAATGAATGAGCCACGTAATGGAATGCCTGGTAGGGAGTGAGCACCATGGGATTCATCATGATCTAAAAATACATCGTGGAGTCATTTGGTAAATATAAGTTAATTGTTCAGTCAGTACCTTCTGTCTGACCTTTTTTGTTGTTGTTGTTAATTTGTGGGAAGCAGTAAGATAAGGATACCCACAGTCCTTGGAGGCAGGCAGATCGGCTTTGAATCCTGGCTGGGCCACTTGTCCGCTGTGTGGCTTGGCCAAGTTGCCTAGCCTCTCAGCGCCTTGTGTCACTGACAGTACTTGCTGGAAGTGCCCTGCAGTCCAGGGCTAGGTTGGAAGCCCACCACTTGTCCTCCTTGTCCTCTCTGCAAGGTGGACAGGACCACCTCCAGGGCCTTCCCAGGTGCTGTGCCTTCTGGGACCTGCTGGCAGGGTGAGCAAGGGATGGTCAAATGCACTGCTCAGGAGGAACAGGCAGTGACATGGCTGAGATCACAAAAGGGGAGGTGACTCAGTCCTGGCCCAGCCTGAGGTCCCCTCTCCAATCCTTCCATCCCCCCCAAGCCTGCGTTATAAACAAGTGACTCAGAGGAATGATGGGAGAATACCCCATAACAGTTCACACCAGTGTCCTGGGGGCTAAATTTAACCCACAGCTGCAGCCTCTGGCACTTTGGAAACAAGTTAATCTTGGTGGCTGAAGCTGTTGTGTGTGTGTGTGTGTGGAGCGGGGTGGGGTGTTCAGGAGTCCAGAGAGTGTGGGCATAGGGACTGGCTGTCCTGGGCCTCTACCCTGATCCCTTAGGCTGTACACAGGGTGCAGGGGCGCTAGGGCCAGGCAGGCTCAGGCCAAGCCTAGAATGGGCCAAGACCAATGAGCATAGACAGTGAACGTCTTTTTGAACCTTAGAATCCAGAATGTCCCTACCCCAGAATGTTAAAAACCTGGGGCTTAAATACCTAGAATAGTCGAATTCTAGGAAATTAATTTTCTAGCATGTCTGACACCTAACAGTGTTAATACCCTGTGACTGTGTACTCCTAGGAATACAGAACCTCAGTGCTTCTGAACCTCAGCTAAGGCCCTCCTAGTCTAACTCCCCCACCTCCTTATAGGGTAGGAAGGGAAACTGAGGCTCAACAGAGAGATCTGACCTGCCCCAGGCTCCACAGAAAAGTGGCCACCCGTGCAGGAGGCAGCCGATGATTGATGTTTATATCTCTCCCTCTTTCTTCCTCTCTGAGATCAATAAAAATATATGTTTTGCCCTAGCAGGTTTGGTTCAGTGGATAGAGTGTCAGCTTGGGGACCGAAGGCTTCCAGGTTCGATTCCAGTCAAGGGCATATGCCCGGGTTGCGGGCTCTATCCCCAGTAGGGGGCATGCAGGAGGCAGCCGATGATTCTCTTATCATTGATGTTTCTATCTCTCCTCCTTTCCTCTCTGAAATCAATAATATATATATATTCCCCTTAAAAAGTGGCCATCTTGTTTACCTAAGGCCCCTACTTGCTTTCTTGCACAGTTGAAGGAGCATCTCAGAGCTGGGGCAGACATGGGAGAAGATCTTCCCATCTTAAAGGTGGGACAACAAGGTCCCCAATGACTGAATGCCATGCTCGTTCTCTGAGCACAGACCCAAGCACACTGTATCCAGAGGTGGCTGGAGTGAGATATACTCCAGAGAGGAAATAGAGGCACCTGATGGAAAGACCCAGAAGGCATGAAGGGAGACCGAAGGTGGGACTCCAATACCTGCCCCTCCCTGATGTAAGGGGCAGAGCTCGGGTCACCCCCTCCCCCAAGGGGCACTGCCCAACCTCGGAATGCGATCAAGGCCGTGCTGTGCTCCATTTAGAAATGAGGCAGAGAGGCCCTCATCTTCCCAGCAGGGCCCAGAAACCCCACTCCCGTCCCATGAGTCCGCGGGGCTGAGTCAAGGCTGCTCTGGGAGAGGGCCTCTGCCCAGCTGTCCCCTCTGCGTCATGTGCCGGAGGCCAGGCAGCTCGCCTTACAGGGCCAGGCCCACCTCTATATATAGCCCACCGAGACAGCTGCGGAGACCAGCAGGCAAGCAGGAAACACAGAGAGGAGGCCCCTGGCACCCCTGGTCGCTGCACCCTAGGCCGCTCACCATGGCGCTGGGCTTGGAGCAGGCGGAGGAGCAGCGGCTGTACCAGCAGACGCTCCTGCAGGACGGGCTCAAGGACATGCTGGACCACGGCAAGTTCCTGGACTGCGTGGTGCGGGTGGGCGAGCGCGAGTTCCCGTGCCACCGCCTGGTGCTGGCCGCCTGCAGCCCCTACTTCCGGGCGCGCTTCCTGGCCGAGCCCGAGCCGGCGGGCGAGCTGCGCCTGGAGGAGGTGGCCCCCGACGTGGTGGCGCAGGTGCTGCACTACCTGTACACGTCGGAGATCACGCTGGACGAGGCGAGCGTGCAGGACCTGTTCGCCGCGGCGCACCGCTTCCAGATCCCGTCCATCTTCACCATCTGCGTGTCCTTCCTGCAGAAGCGCCTGTGCCTCTCCAACTGCCTGGCCGTCTTCCGCCTCGGGCTGCTGCTGGACTGCGCGCGCCTGGCCGTGGCCGCCCGCGACTTCATCTGCGCGCGCTTCCCGCTCGTGGCGCGCGACGCCGACTTCCTCGGGCTCTCGGCCGACGAGCTCATCGCCGTCATCTCCAGCGACGACCTCAACGTAGAGAAGGAGGAGGCGGTGTTCGAGGCGGTGATGCGGTGGGCGGCCAGCGGCGACGCCGAGGCCCAGGCCGAGCGCCAGCGCGCGCTGCCCACCGTCTTCGAGAGCGTGCGCTGCCGCCTGCTGCCGCGCGCCTTCCTGGAGAGCCGCGTGGAGCGCCACCCGCTCGTGCGCGCCCAGCCCGAGCTGCTGCGGAAGGTGCAGATGGTGAAGGACGCGCACGAGGGCCGCCTCACCGTGCTGCGCAAGAAGAAGAAGGAGAAGGGGAAGGAGGCAGCCGGGCCCCAGGCGGCCGGCAAGGGCACCGGCGACGCCAAGGCCGAGGGGGAGGAGGAGGACGAGCGCGTCCTCCCTGGCATCCTCAACGACACTCTGCGCTTCGGCATGTTCCTGCAGGACCTCATCTTTATGATCAGCGAGGAGGGCGCCGTGGCCTACGATCCGGCGGCCAATGAGTGTTACTGTGCCTCCCTCTCCACTCAGATCCCCAAGAACCACGCCAGCCTGGTGACGAAGGAGAACCAGGTCTTCGTGGCCGGGGGCCTCTTCTTCAACGAGGACAACAAAGAAGACCCCATGAGCTCTTACTTTTTGCAGGTGCCTTGCCAGCGCTGGGAGGGGGTGGCCAGTGCTGGGGCCGGGGGTCAGCCTTGGGGCCCAGGAGAGACCTGTGTCTCCGTGTTGGCGAATGTCCTTGGTCGACGGGGAGGTGTAGACCAGGGCGGTTCACCGACAGCCACTTGCCTGAAAGCTGAAGACAGTGATAGACAGTGGACAATGGCTCCGTAACTTTGGTGACTGGGCTTCAGGGGGACGTTAGCCCCAGGATGGTCTGATATGTTGGAGGCCCGGGCCCTGCACAAGGGTTGGGGTCAGGCACAGTGAGAAGGAGGAGCAAGGTCAGTGTAGGGGTTCTGGGCAGGGCCTTTGCATGAGTTGGGGATTGGGGTGTGTCCCAGACAAAGGGATCATCCTACCTAGTCTTCCCATTATACAGATGAGGAAACTGAGGCACAGGAAGGACCCGTAGAGTGGGGTGCCCAGTCCAAGTTGTAGTGGGACTGTGGGATCTCAGAGGGCAGAAGCGGCTTCCTGGTGGCAGGCCATGTAGGTGTGGGCCTTGCCACTCGGGTGGAATTTGGAGACCTGAAGGGGAGGGTAGTGGAGAATGAGCCGAGTGAGTGGTGGGCACAGGTGGGCACATGTTCACTCCCTCTGGGCTTCCATTCATAAGTGAGGGTATTATTCCTCCTGCTTGATAAGGTCATTTGAAGGTTAGATGGCAGGTATAAAGTGTTCATCAGCACAGGGCGCAGTCTTCAGAAAACTTTTCAAAAAGGTGAGCCACTGGTACTGTTATTATAAGACTGTCCAGGTGGACAGGGCGACAGGCTTACAGTGTAGGCTTTAAGGGCGAGTGGCAGAGCTGGCTGTAGGTGGGGTTCCTGTGCCAGGGGATGAGGTGGAGAACAGGGGGTGGGGAGGTGTACAGGGGAAGGGCCAGGGCCCGGGGAAAGCTGCCCCATCCTGGGGCTATCATGGCGATCTTCCGGCATCTGCCTGTTCAGGAATGGGGTGGCGGTGGGGTCAGCTTTCTCAACCAGAAAGGAGGCGGGCACTGCCTCCAGAAACCACCTCCACCTGCGCTGGCCCGACCTGGAGTCTTGGACTCCTCGGTGACCCGGGTGGCCTGATGGGGCTGAGCTGGGCTGGGGCTGGGACTGGGGCTGCGGGGGCGCCAGCTGACTGGACCCCCGGTCCGCAGTTTGACCACCTGGACTCAGAGTGGCTGGGGATGCCGCCGCTGCCCTCGCCGCGCTGCCTCTTCGGCCTGGGAGAGGCTCTCAACGCCATCTACGTGGTCGGCGGCCGGGAGCTCAAGGAGCGGGAGAGCAGCCTGGACTCGGTGCTGTGCTACGACCGCCTGTGAGCGGGGCAGGGGCGGGGCCGCCGGGGGCTGGGGTTGAGGATGCAGGTGAGGCCTGGTGCCAGGGCGCTGGTCTAGGACCTCGGGGTGTGGCCGGGGAACCCAACCGAGACCCGGTTAGGCAGGGGTGAGGCGGGATGGTTGGCAGGTGACATGGAAGCAAGGAAATGAAGGTCTGGGGAGTTCTGGTAATGTACCGGGTGCACCCCAATACGTGTTGGGGGGGTGGGGGGTGCAGAGATGGGAACCCAGTGTGTTTACCCTCTCCCCCCCCCCTCCAGGTCGTTCAAATGGGGGGAGTCGGACCCGCTGCCCTATGCGGTGTACGGCCACGCGGTGCTCTCCCATATGGACCTTGTCTACGTCATTGGCGGCAAAGGCAGCGACCGGTGAGGCTCAGGCCTGGAGTGGGTGCAGCAGAGGGTGGCAGGTGTCCTGGCTACCTGGGGAGGGACTGGGCCAAGGGGGGAGGTGCCCTGCTCCCGCTGCCTGGCTCTCTCTGACTGCCTCCACCCCACAGGAAGTGCCTCAACAAGATGTGCGTCTATGACCCTAAGAAGTTCGAGTGGAAGGAGCTGGCTCCCATGCAGACGGCCCGGTCACTCTTCGGGGCCACCGTGCACGATGGCCGCATTTTTGTGGCCGCCGGGGTCACGGACACGGGGCTGACCAGTTCCGTGGAGGTGTACAGCATCACGGACAACAAGTACGCCGCTTGCCTCCTTTCTTCCTCCCTTCCCCAGGCAGGGCAACCAGGGGCCGAGGGCCTCCCTGGAACCCCCTGGCTGTGTGGCTTTGGGCCTAGGCCAGTCCTCTCTGAGTCAGCCCCGGAGAGCAGCATAGCTCGGAATTGGGTTTTCACAGTTGAGCTTAGACATCAGCACAGAAGTAGTCCCTCTCCCCTGATCAGTAGTGAGGTGGGCTTCCCCCACAAGGTGGGGCGAGGGTTAGGGCCAGCCCGGTCAGCAGGAGAGAGCTCCCAAGACTGGGGTAGGAGATGCCAGGTTCCTCAATCAGAGACTCACACCAGGCACTGGCCTGGTCCGAGGGATGCAGTGGTGACCAAGCTACCCTGCCCTGGGAGGTCAGGAAGACAACAGCTGTGGTGGGAGAAGGATGCCCAGGCAGTTGGAGCCAAGGCAGTTAGGAGAAGAGGGCTGGCCCACTTGGAGGAATTGCTCAGGTTGGATGGAGTGTGGTGAGGGGGGTCCTGGGGCTGCAGAGGCGGCCAGCAGGGCTGAGGAACTTTCTCCCAAAGGCGATGAAATGCCTCCGAGGGGTTGTGAGCGCACATCTGTGTTTTACTAAGATGCTTCATGACAGCTGATGTAGGTGTGAAGCAAGTCACACGGGCAGTGCGTGCGCCGCGCCTGGATTCCCAGGCCCTGGGTAGTCGGGGACCTGCGAGCAGTTGTGGAGGGTGGGGATGAAGACTCCCTGAGAGTAATTGGACTGTGGGAGAAGGGGTCAGGGCAGGAGTCCAAGGGGTCGGGGGCTTAATGGCCACTGAGCTAGCAAGTGGGAGTGAAGGAGGGACACAGGGGAGGTCCATAGTGGGTTTTGGGGGGCAGGTTGGGTAGAATGTCAAAGGGACAGTGAAGGGAAGTGTTGAGGGTAATTGAATGGGAAAGGAAGTGAAGACCAGAGGAGAAGGGGAAGGGGAACAGGGTTGGGACACTCTGAGGCCTGGCAGGG